AGTATGTACATGATAGTATGCTAAAGAGTCATAGGTGACTATGGATTGATTGCTTGAGTGCTTGATTGATTGACTGATTGATTTTCTACTATCACGTGGGTGTCAACTCTTAGCAACCACATAGATTTCTTCCCCAAGACAATCTGTCCTTGTCCTTTAGGTCTTACAACAGGGCATCCATTAACAATATAACTGTGTCCATCCACCTTACTACTGATTGTTCCCTTCTTTTCTTTCCCTTCACATTTCCCAGCATTTCAGCCCTCTCAAGACAGCTTGGTCTTCATATAATGTGTCTGAAGTAGGATTTTTCAGCCTGGTCCATCATGTCTCAAGTGAGAACTCTGATTGACTATTGACTGGCTCAATCTGACAGAAAAAAAGGGATGAAGCCAAATTATTATCAAAAAATACCAAGAAAATGTATTCCATAATTCTTCCATCCAACACTTCATACTTATTCCCTCCTTAGGGGCAACTACTGCTGCTGGACCAACACAAGTCATTTCATTTTATTAATGTGAAGCATCAGAACTTGCCCTTAAAAAAGGAGTAATTCCAAAGTGTTTTGAGCAACCAGCATTACTCTGAATAAGTTATTGTCTTCTCATGTTTCTTTCTTGACTTTGTGACTCAAGTTTTGGCTCTCCCTTTCAGTTTGGCCCATGCATAATCACTGTCTATAGTTTTTAAAAGAATGCTGCTGAAATATTCAAGAATGGGAGCCTTGCTAGCATAATGATGTGAAACAGCATCATGGATCTGTTGTTTCTCTGCTTAAGCTCAAGGGTAAAGACTAATTGATCTGTCAGGAAAGGAAACCCAAAATGGTTTCACAAAGTTTTGCAATTGGAACAGAATCACTAACATAATTTGAAAACAGAACAGTTTGACTTCCCCCAGAAACTAGAAAAAAAGGAAGGCATATGTTACTTTTTCAATACCAGGTCTGCTTCACTCATCCAGAATAGCCTAAAAATGGTGCAAGAGTTGTTATCTTTAGTTTGTGCTTCATGTGGGCACCTTATTGTCCTTCCCTTTCCCAAAACCATTCTAAGGGAAAGGATTCTCCCTTTTTTGTTACTTGAGAAACCTAAGGGAATCTTAAGATGAGGCTCAGATTCTTGAAAAATGGTACATGGTCCCTTTTTGAACTGGGATGAGGAACACTGAGTGTCATCAACCTTGTTCTTTGAGAGGAAACTTGGAAAGAATTCTAGAGAACATCCATTCCAATTCAAGTATTGAATTGATTTAGCCAAAAATATCAAAATTTTGGAAGAAATTAAATCATATCTGTTTTTGCAATTAGTTGTGATGAATCATTTGGTGGTGCTCAACCACTTGTTTATGTGAGACATGCTGTATAGTTAGATAAAATGAAAGAAGAAATTCTGCTTTTGTGAGCCTTGAAAGCAATTATTGAAAGTGATACCTTTGGAGCTGTATTGAAACAATCAGAAGTAAAATAAATGGGTTGGGGATTCAACTGATAAAGAGTCTATTAATGCTGGATTCATGTTCAGGATTTTGGGGGAGAGCAGGAAATCTTTACATATTTTGGAGATTTAATGTGTTACTAATCACACACCTGCTTGCGAAGCTCTCCCAGCAGGCAACAAAAAGATCTCAATCTCATTATCATTATCAAGTTAGTTAATTACATGAAAAACAGTGTATTATTTGCTGTTGTTTGTGAAGGTTTGGGAACTGTTCATAAAATGTTGCTGTTCCACATTAATTTTAATGACTGTCAAAGGGAAATATGATTGGATGGATTTGTGAGCTGAAGGAAGTTGTCCTATTTTTAGAATAATATGGAAAGCAGACTATATATGTGAAGCTTTAAAAAAAAGTAGCTTTCAAATGAGATTGGTATATCTGGCAGATATATAAAACTCCTAGAACACCCAAATCTGAAGCTTCAGGACAAAAACATCACTATCATTGCTCATCATAGCATAGTTCAAATATCTCTAGTCAACATCAGCTATGAATACAGCGTTTGGGTTAAATGTGTCTATTTTCTTTTGCTGATGAAAATTTCAAATATTGAAAATGCCCTTGAGGGGGAAAAAAGAATTGAACTTTATCTAGACGGCTATAGGATGAATTCAAGTGATATTTCTCAGATGTCATGGCTGAAGATTTCATTTTATTTATGTATTTAAATAATTTATATGACTACCCATTTCATAACAGTGACTTTGGGTGATGTACAAAGATTAAGACCCAACAATTATAACAATTACCCATGGTATCCCAAGTAATGACAACTTCCATTCATTAAACACTTCGTCCTCTACTATAGGGCTGGCTTAATAGCAATAGTAATAGCATTTAGACTTATATACTGCCCCATAGTGCCTTACAGCATTCTCTGGGTGGTTTACAATGTAATATTATTTGCATGTGGCCCCCAACAATCTGGGCCCTCATTTTACCAACCTCAGAAGGAAGGAAGGCTGAGTCAACCTTGAGCCCCGTCAGCATTGAACTCCAAGCTGGGGGCAGAATTTTGCCTGCAATACTGCATTCTAACCACTGCACCACCAGTTAACCTGTTGGCCTGAACACTTGGAAAAACAGCCAGGTCTTCACACCTTATAGAAGCCCAATAGTGTTAAGTCCATTTGCCTCTCTGGGGGATTGCTGTTTCCACCAGGCAGGCACTTGTACAGAAACGGTGTGGCATTTGATAGATTGTGAGATTTGTACAACAGTGGAAAACTCAATATATGGAAGTTGTGGTTTCTCTATCATTAGGTGATTTTTAAAAAGAGCTTAATTGTTTTTTTGAGAAGACACTGCAGAGGGGTCGTTGAGGCATTTCCTATGGTTCCTTAGAAATCCACAGTTCGAAGATTCTAGGAAATAGTGTAAGTTTGATGTAAATTTGAAGCATTTTTCTAAGATATACAAATGTTTTGTTTTTAATTACAATATATCATTCGTTTTAAAATTTTGTGGTAAATTATTGAAGAAGACAGTTTTGAAGGGGGCATAATATGTTTATTAAAAAGGGGCACACATTCCAAAAGATTGAGAAATAGTATTGTAACTATAATTAGTATGTGGACAGGAAACATTTTCTGTCTAGGAGACATTTTAGGGCCAAAGACAAAACTGCATATTTTTGGGTGGGCATCACCCATTGGGTGGGCGTGGCTACAGTGGTAATAGCAGACTGGGTGGGAATTAAAAAGTTCAATCAATCAATTCCAACTTTGCGAGATCTTTTTTTTTCCCGTGAGAAGTTGAAATTGATTGAACTTTTTTTTTTTTTGCACACGGCGGCGGAGGCCTAAAGTGAAAAGGTTTTATAAAACCCAGCTGAAGGCCTAGGACTGCGGCGATGGCGTGCGTGCCCACAGAGAGGGCTCTGAGTGCCGCCTCTGGCACCCGTGCCATAGGTTCGCCACCACTGATATAGGTCATCCTTGAAGCCATCTGATATTTGACAGACTCTGATGTATTCTCAAGGCAATCTGGAATCAAGGATTGAAGGTAGGGATGGATGTGTGCAGCCCACGAGTTGTTCAAACCTAGACTTGTATGAACTGAACAAAAACATATATATGCACACATACAAATGTCAACGATTGGCAATAAGCTGCTGTGACCTCTGTATCAATAACTTAGCACTGAATTCCCAGTAGAGCAGGGATGTCCAGCCTTGGCAACTTTAAGACTTGTGGACTTCAACTCCCAGAATTCCCCAGCTATCCATGCTGTGGTAGAGACTTAGTGTGTATTTGGTGAGATTTGTTTCCTCTCAAAAGACTACTTGTCCAGCAAATTCAATTCAACCTTTAGCCCACCATTAGTATGTCAGGACAGATTCAAGCTTCTGGCTCATTGTACTGCAAGCACAAACGATCAACTATTTTTGAGAGGCAGGAATTGATATCAATGCTGCCATTGAGAAAGCAGTGTGATTGTCTCGGGAGACTTTTGAGCAGTTTGTGCTGGAATTGAGGAGTGCACAAAAGAGCCAAATGTATTTGTAACTTGGAATCATTATTTGCGAGATAACTGCTGACACCTTCTATTGACTTCTGAGGTTAGTGAGCTCACTAGAAGTTTCAGTTCTAGTACAGAAAAAAAAATGGATTGATTCATGTTAAATGGCCTAAACTCAGTTCATTCAAACAGCTCAATCTTATCATCTTGTCATCTTCCTAGCCACTCATTTCTAAGTAAAAAAAAAAAAAAAATCTGTTGGCTGGAAATACCTCATAATGTTCAGTGTGAAACCCAGTGGGGCCTGTGCTAAGGTTTAGAGTTTGTGAAAACAAATGTTTCTGATGTTTGCAGAAAGCTCAACATTATCTGAGTACCTTCAGTAGATTACACATGTACATTTGTGGATGGTATCATTGCAGCGATACTCCTCATCCAACAAGCTTTGTGACTTGTGTGTCTGTGTGCTTTGGAATCAGTTTTGACTCTGTCTGGACAAGTCCCTGCAATTTTCTTGGGAATGTTTGTAGGAACTGTAGTCCAAAATGTTTGGGGGGTTCCAGTTTGGGAGAGACTGATCTTTGCAATTTACTGGTAAATATCCCATGATGATGATGGCGATGGCATTACAATTCATCTCTACTACTGCCATTGTTATTACTGCCATTTATGTCTCCTATTGACAATTAATCTTTTTTTTTTAGATTTACTGCCACCTTCAACACATACCAGGATTCTGACATTTACTGTACATATTACATATATTTATTTATGCTGTACGTGAAATCAAGCCTAGGATGCACTGTGCTATATTTACTATTCTCATCTGGCAAGAGTAGCCCAGGAGTAAGCAAGAGCAGCAGTTCCACTGTGCTGTCACCCTCCCCTTTCTCCCGACATCGCTAATCTCTTTCGTTTTGAAACAACTGCGAAAGTTGCAAAGATGGGGACAGCAATTGTTGTCTTAGTACACGGTGATATATGGTCACTAGAGAGCAAGGATACTTCCAGAAATAAATATACAATATTAAAAAAACAACCCAGCAAAGCCAAATTTATTTACAAATGCAGATATGTGATTTTTTTAAATCACTAGATGACCCTGTCAGGACCCTCATAGGCAAACATATTTTATTAAGGGCCACAAGCTTTGGTGAGGCATAGCTCATTTCATCTGCTGTAGCTCATCAGGCAGCTGTAGTTCACAAAAACGTATATAATAGTTATCAGATTTTGGGCTACCATGGACTAACATGGCTCTCCTCTCCCTTGCCTGGATGGCTCTGTGGACTCTAAATTGTTTTTCTCTCCTACATTAAATCAGAAAGAAAATCCAGCCATTTTCAACATTTGCGGCTATTGAGAATAGACTTAAGAGTTCATCTGTCCTAATAAATATTGCTGAAAGACCTTGGAGGTTGAAAATGTAATACATTTACTTAAGTATATAAACGTGCTAAAGGATGGAGATGGATGCTGGGAATTGTAGTTCAAATGCTGAGAAGGCAGCTACAGACCATCTCTATGGAGATTCTCAGTGATCCGGGTCATGGTTGTCTCAAAGGTGCCTTTATAAAAGCAATTGCCCTATGTTTTTCTTTTTCCCTTGAGGAAGAGGGAGACATTTTGCTTCTTGTTGTGTCCTGAGCCTGCAAAGGCAGGCTCGGGACGTTGCAACGGTCCCGGGCAATTGCAAGCTGCCCGGGACCAGACTGGCTGGCGCCGGCTTTGCGAGCATGCGCAAGGAGCAGAGCACGCCAAATGTTGCCATTTGGTCCGGGGAAGAGTTCTTAAGAGAGGCAGAGAGGCTTGCGTGCCTCAGAGCTGAAACGGAGCTGAAGAAACAACAATAAAGGCTTCTTAACACTACGAGATGCTCTGTGATTTATTGCCATTAAGCTGAGGACTCAACACTTTTCATCCAAGAGTTCTGGCTGGATGGGTGGGGGGAATGGAAGAGTTAGTTCTCAGAAAGGTTAGTTCTGAGAATCCTCCCATTCCCCCCCTCTCCCCCACCATCCACTCAGAACTGATGAAGCTTCTTGGATGAGAAGTGAAACGACTACCTCAAGGGAAAATACATAGTCCAGTTGCCTTTTGACAAAGCACGTTTGAGCTACAGACCATGTAAAATATGTTCAGGAGATGAAAGAGGGCAATAAGCAAGGGTAAAAGAGTCCATGAGCAAAGGAGGAAGGTTCCAACCTCAGCTATGTATTTTCCCTGATTAATGTTGCTGATTTACCATTGAATGATGTAAATTAACCAGGGCTTTTTTTTCTCATAGAACGCCCAGTACAGAGTTCCAGCACCTTTTTTGGATGGAACCTTGTAGGGTAGGCAAGGCAGGTTGTATGACGTGAGTGAGTTTCGGCACCTTTTTTTTTTTTTTTTTTGAAAAGAAGCACTGAAATTAACCAAAGCTTTTCCTCTTCTTTCGTAAGTTAGTTGGGTAGAGTCTGGTCACAGCCATCATTATTAGAGCATTTATGAAAGTTCTTGGGGTGAAATCAGCAAGTCAGGTTCTTGGACTTCTCCAAGATGAGAAAGAGACAGCTACTAGAAAGCAAAAAAAAAAAAAAGTTATTTATTCAAGAAATAACACCCAAATAATTGCCTTAAATCCTTATTATCTGGATATTTGTATGACCTTCATGTCAAGAGCTACTTTTGATTATGAAAAAAAAAATCTGTATAAATGATTTTGAATGCTTGGGCTATTTATGACTACTGACTTGTTTTTCAAGCAGGAATTACTATTATGCAGGAAATAACGTCAGAGTCAGACAGTTTGACAGTTTGGTGGCAGTAAACATTCTAGGTAGCTTGATACATTTTTATAGGTCGATATAAAAGATTCCACAAATGACTATAACAGACAAACATGGTTGGCAAAAGAATTATCTTGTGTCTGTGCTGTGGTTGATGCGATAGCGTTTCTTGAAAGTTTGACCTGACTCAATTTAGAATAACAACCCATATTTATTTAAGAATTTATCCAATCTTAAAATCTAGGTAAGCTCTCTTACACAAAATTGGTTCTCAGCACTGGAGAGGCACAAAATGCATCTGTCTGATCTACCCCCAAACCACTCGCTTTATCCTGACATACCTGAAAAATCTGGAAGTTAATGATGGAAATTGAATGAAATGAAGTCATTCGTTATCCTTTTGCTCCTTCTGTTTCTGAAATCTGGACACCGGAGTGTTTTTCTCTCCTGTACCATATGTGCACCCAAACTATAGCAGCCAGCATAGTTAGAAAGATGGGTATTTTCAAGATGAGCAGGATTTGAAAATCAAGGCTTCTGGGTTGGTTTCTAAACAGAGAAATGTCCCACCATTTTATTTTGAATTGATCCTCATTATGACAAGTAAAATGAGTATAAATAAGCCACTCATTTATTTCACTTTTAATTTATATTGATCTTTCAGTACAAATAGAACAAATGAGGTCCCATATTTGCTCTACCATTATCGACCATTATTTTGCTGTGTTTATTTTTCATCCAGGAGTAGAATTATTCTTCTGTACCCAAAATATTATTTTTTGTTTACGTGTCACTCGCATCTGCATTCAGACTATGTAAAGAACCATCATCCTTTATGTAGATCTGATTATAGCCGTGATGGCGAAACTATGGCACGCGTGCCACAGGTGGCATGCAGAGACCTCTCTGTGGGCATATGCACCATCACCGCAGTCCTACGCTTTCAGCTGGGTTTTATAAAACCTTTTCGCTTTAGACCTCCATCACCGTGTGCAAAAAAAAAAAGGTTCAATTAATCAATTTCAACTTCTCGCGGGGAAAAAAAAGATCTCGCAAAGTTGGAATTGATTGACTGAACTTTTTAGTCCCACCCAGTCTGACATTACCACCGCAGCCATGCCCACCCAATGGGCCACACCCACCCAATGGGCCATGCCCACCCGGCACCCGATGATACATACGTGGGTTTTGGGTTACAGTTTGGGCACTTGGACTCTAAAAGGTTCACCATCACTGGCTTATAGTTTATGATCTTTATTAGAAATTATGCTACATGTCTCACCATCTAATTCATATCATCTAAGTGTTTGTGGAAGTAGCTCTAAAGAGGAGATAATGATCATGGTGCAGACAGGTTGAATGGTTCTAGAAGTCAGATTTTGTTTAGTAGGTAAGATACCGAAAAAAAATCCTGCCTCCAGATCAGGAAGAATCTTTCTTAGAGGATGAAGATAAAAAGATGAAAGGGGAATAAAGTAATTCTAGTCAATGGATCTAATCCATCAACTTGTACAAGTGGACATAAGTTGCATCTGGTCAGAACAGCTGTGAGCTGAACAAATAGGACATTGGGATCAGCCCTTTGCAAAGTCAGATCATCTACTTTTCCACATATGACATGTTTGCATCTTTGGTCTCTGTGAGGATGCAGGTTCAATCTCAGCTGCCTTGTAGATCCAGTTGATTTTGGGCAGGGGTTTGAGAATTATCTTAGAGATTTGGTAGGCAGTTAAGTTCTGGAAATCTGAGTTGGTGGACGGGAATGCTCCTGTCTATCTTTGTGTGTCAATGCTGGAAGACAGCTTCATCTAAAAACCCACCCCACTGGTTTGGGGTGAGGCATCATTGATATGTGGCTGATACCCAGTTATAGATCTATAGCCCAAGCCACATTGGAGGTGCTCTTGAGGTCTTCTGGTAGTGATTGAAGGCTATGAGGAACTGACTGGAATAAAACAGAATCTGGGTAATATGGAATTAGTCCAGAAATCAGTGGGTTCCTTGTAAGTGCCTAAGCTGGCTCTGGATAAAGATGCACTCTCCTTGAAAGAGCAGGCTTGTGGACAATTTGGTGGTTCCCTGGAGTCATGGCTCCAGTTTAATGCAGATTGATGTTATGGCCATGGTTTGCCCAGACAAATGGCTGTCCAGTCTCTTCTTAAAAACTTCCAGTGTTGGAGCATTCATTTGAGCTACTGTCCCACTTGTGGTTCTTTCTTGAGCAGAGGCCTTAGTGGTGTCCTCATCACCCTGAGGTTGGACTACTGCATTCTCTTTGGAGCTGCTTATGAAAGCTATGCAAAAGCTTCAGCTGGTAGAAAATGCAGCTGCTCTTATTTTGACATTTGAGAGCTGCTTCTGCAGGGTGTACTTTTTCTTTGGGGACTTCACTGTCTGCAAATAGGTTTCCAAATATTATTCAAAGTGCTGGTGTTGACATCTTTTAATTCTTAGTTACTTACATTATCCTCTTCTTCAAACAGAAATATATCCTGTGCGTTCAGCTATGAAGGAGATGCTTCACATCCATCCACAAGGGTGGAGGGAGAACCCAGAGTTAGGCTGTTGTAGTGGCTGATATAAAATAGCTTGCCACCAGATGGTCCCTACTCTATTAATTTTTAGGAATATGGCAAAAAGGTTTATTCTACTGGGTGCTTAGAACCTATGTGGCTATTTAGTTGATGGTGATTTTTAATTTTATTTTTAATTTCAGTGTATTTTTGAGTTTGATTACAATGTTATAAAGTAGCATTTTGGAGTTTTATGGGGATGAATGGTGCTGTTTTATTTGTATTTATGGACTGTGAACTGCACTGAGTATTGTGATTATATCTCTTCTAACTACAATATCTCTCTCTGTATCTATCTATCTATCTATCTATCTATCTATCTATCTATCTATCTATCTATCTAATCTATGCATATTCTAAAAATAAATAATATGAAGTGAATGCAAAATTCCACAAAAAAAAGTGCCTAACAGAGAAAAATCAAGATGGGAGACTCTATACAAGTTTTAATTTGTAAATGTAAGAAACCTCTGGGCCAAAATGGAGAGGTAATGGAGCATGAAGCTAGGAAAAAAAAACCCAGAAAGCATTACAAACATCTACTACAACAGAGATAATTAAAATTATAGAATAATTTTGGGACATAAATGTTGTGTACTTCATTCGCGTGCGAATGATGAAGACACATGGCGATGCTGAACAAACACTTTATTCACCTTCTAGAACAACCAAGCAAAAGCAAAAGGCATGCAGGCCTTTTTATATGGCCAGAAACCCGGACAGTGTCAACCAATAGGAACAGAGCGTTTTCACGCCTTGCACATGCGCACAAGGCTGGCGCCGCTCTGTTTGGTCCCGGGCAGCTTTTGGAATGCCCGGGACCAATGCAATATCCCAAGCCTGCTTTTGCAGGCTCAGGACACAACACTAAGAATTATAGAAGAGCATCTTTGGGAGAGGGTAGATTTGTCTGATAGCTCAAAGAAGATGTAAAACCCCTATACAAATGGAGCAAACTCCTCCACATAATTACCAATTAACTGTTCATAGCAGTTCTCAGATGACATTTTTGGGCCTAGTCTGTCTATTCCTTCAGCACAACAAGGAAGTCAGGCTAATCTTCAGATAGAAAGTGAAATCAGAGAGGTATATCTGAAAAACAACTAATGATAAAATGGTGGACAGTTTCCATTACCTTCAAGTAGGTAGGAAAATGGATGGAGTTTGTAGTTATGTCCCACCATCTAGACATACAATGTTTTGGGTTAATATAAGCATCCTTTTAGCAGAATACACTACCTATGGAATTCTTGCCAGAAAGTGGCTTTTTCCTAATGTAACTTAGGCATGTTTTATGTGCTGAATGCTCTAGAACAGAGGTGCCAAACTGCTGGCCATCATGGGAAGCTGTGCCCACCCCAGCTCCGGCAAGGGGAAAAAAGTCACAATACGTCACGACATGGTACGTGACGCAGCGAGTTTGACACCCCTGCTCTAGAACATAGAATAATAGGGTTGGAAAGAACCTTGGAGGTCTTCTAGTCTAACCCCTTGCTCAAGCAGGAGACCCTATACCATTCCAGACAAACATTTTTAGTGATCCCTAATTTTAATAGCGTTTTTATATTTTCTGCTCTATTTCAGTGTTTCTTGGTTTCATGAAATATTTTAATTGACATGTTTTCTGGTATATTGTGCATCAGCTGCTGGGGACCACAACTGGTGAGTGAAATTTAAAGATTCAGCAAAGCAATAAACAAATGCATGAAATATCATATTTTGGTAGAGTGGGAGGAACAAAGAAGATGTGCTAATCGTGGTCTCTGACATGCAGCTAGGGGAAAATTAATGAGCGCCTTTCATATGTTCTTAAATTTCCACATCTTTGCTTTTGGTTATGATGGTCAGAATGTCCAGAGATAATCAGGTTGCTGCTAAGCTACAGTATAGTTTGGCATTCTGTTTTACTTAAGAAGTATCTACTGATAGACTGTCTGGAGTTTTCCTTAGAATATCAAATATAAGCAAGTAATTAGAATACCTTTCAGGAGATAATGGAGATTCACTTGGCTCTACTGTTTTACATTCTTTATTTCTAGATGTAGGTGTGGAAACATCATCTGTAAACAATAATATTTTGTCAAATACTAATGCAGGAGATAAAAATGAATGCATTCGCATTTCCTGATTTATGTAGTTATTAAAAAGAGGTACCAAATTGGACTTAGGTTGTTTCAAATATTATGATTATAATAAAGACTGCGGTGTGCAATGTGCAGTTTAAGAAATATAGCACACAGTAATCCATGATGTGCTCTCTATCTATGGCCAAATTTACAGTAGGAAAGTCACATGTATTGCATTGTGCATTTAGGCTTTGAAAATACTTAGCTAATGGTCTACTATTTTAAAATATTTATGTATATTATATTATACATTACTATTCATTTACAAATGTCCCAGTAAATCACAGTAAACAATCCTCTCCACAAAATCATTAGAATGAAACTTTATCTCTCGTTGTTATAAAAGGAAGTTGGGAGGCAAGTCATCCTGAAGAAGTACAGTAGGTAGAGACAGCAACTAATAGGACCTTGGCAATCTTTCATTTTATCTAAAGGGTACCTTTGAAGGGATATGTTGGGATATAAATTCTAGCCAAATTGTTTTTCAGGAAGACTGCACATGCTTTAATTATACAGATGGACAACAGGCTATGTCCCTAAATGCAGCTTCCAGAAGTAGTAGCATCCGGGATGTTGTGAGACGCTCTTTAGACATCTTTACATTATTTCTACAAACCTAAGGAGACTCAATAGTAGTAACTGTGAGAGGGACCTCAGAGTCCTAGTAGACAATCACCTAAATATGAGCCGGCAGTGTGCTGCAGCTGCCAAAAAGGCCAACACAGTGCTAGGCAGCATTAACAGAGGGATAGAATCAAGATCACATGAAGTATTAATACCACTCTACAATGCCTTGGTAAAGCCACACTTGGAATACTGCATCCAGTTTTGGTCACCACGATGTAAAAAAGATGTTGAGACTGTAGAAAGAGTACAGAGAAGAGCAACAAAAATGATTAGGGGACTGGAGGCTAAAACATATAAGGAACGATTGCTAGAATTGGGTATGTCTAGTTTAACGAAGAGAAGGACAAGGGGAGACATGATAGCAGTATTCCAATATCTCAAAGGCTGCCATAAAGAAGAGGGAATCAAGCTATTTTCCAAAGCACCTGAAGGCAGGACAAGAAGCAACGGGTGGAAACTAATCAAGGAGAGAAGCAACCTAGAACTAAGGAGAAACTTCCTGACAGTGAGAACAATTAATCAGTGGAACAGCCTGCCTCCAGAAGCAGTATAAATGCTCCAACACTGGAAGTTTTTAAGAAGAGACTGGACAGCCATTTGTCCGAAATGGTGTAGGGTTTCCTGCCTGAGCAGGGGGTTGGACTAGATGACCTCCAAAGTCCCTTCCAACTTTACTACTACTACTACTACTATTATTATTATTACTACAAGGGTGTTGTCTTTTAAAACGGAAACTGTAATTCTCTGTAATCTAAGCAAAACCAATAATGAATAACTACAGGTAGCCCTTGACTTATGACTGCAATTGAGTCCAAAATTTCGGTTGCTAAGCAAGACATTTGTTAAGTAAGTTTTGCCCCATTTTACAGCCTTTCTTGGCACAGTCGTTAAATGCCTCATTACAGCTGTTAAGTTAGTAACATGGTTGTTAAGTGGAACTGGCTTCCCCCATTGACTTTGTTTGTCAGAAGTTTGCAAAAAGTGATCACATGATCCTGGGACACCGCAACCCACATAAATACATGCCAGTTGAATTTTGATCCCCTGGCCATGGGTATGCTGCAGTGGTCATAAGTTTGAAAAACGGTCAGAAGTCACTTTTTTCAGTGCCGTTGTCGCTTGGAATGGTCACTAAACAAATGACTGTAAGTCGAAGACTACCTGTACACAGTTCTGATATTAGATAGAAACAACAGTGTGTCGTCTTCCTATGGTTGCATGATAACTCTCTTCCTAAAATAATAACTACAGCAAAAGGATACCTGCGGTAATGATTAGTTCCACCGGCTGCCAGATATCATATTTTCTCTCCACGCCACACAGGTAAGCCCCAGCATCGTTGTGAGTGAGGTTCTCCATGACCACACTGAATTCACGAAGTACACGGTTGTCTTTGATGGACATTCCATTCTGCTTCACCTCTTCCTCTGATCCTGTGGTTCGGATGGTGCGGTTGCGAGAACAGAATCTAAATCTTTCTTCTTTGCACCAGTACTTGACAGCTTCTTCATCACCTCTTCTATATTTGCAGTGGATAGTCGCTGAGCCACCACGGGGTGAAATCACTAATTTAGGATGCTCCAGCATCCAGCAAACTGAAAAAACAGTTACACTCATTTTTACTAAACATAAAAATAACACCAACCCCAGTGCATCCAGAGTTCCACTTAAGTCTCTGTAGCCTGCATGAAATTAATTGGATTAAGAGGAAAAAATTCACTCATTTTTCCTAAACATGTTGCCCTTCAGAAGGGTTCATCTTCAGTTATCCCCAAATTTAAGAAGGTTTGCGAACTATTACATTTGGTCCCAGATGCCTGAAGAACACCATGTGAGTCAAAACTGAGTTACATAATCGCTTTTCTTAAATAGAGTCCATCATGGATTTCCCTCAATTTGAAATGCAGCTGTCTACGAAATGAATCAGCCTCCCCAGTGTGTCCATCAGACCTAGATCAAGTGCCTGCCTTGCCATCCCTTTTCAGCAAGCAACGTTCATAGAGGTTAGCATCCATTTGAAAAAAAGTTACAGAGCGCTCAGCAAAAAAGGGGGTGGGAAATAAAAAAAAAAGAAATCAAAGACTGAGCAGGACAAATATTAACACCTTATTTCAAGAGCGAATGAAGCTTCTTTGAGAAGGAGATTTCACAGGCAGCCCTATTGCTGAGAAAATCAGGCCAGGAAAATGAGAAAAATGCAGGGGGGTAAAAGGAAAGCTCAGAAATAAAAAGAAGAGGAGGAATGAAAAGAAGAAGGAAGCTTTCAAGAACGTGTATCCATGCCATCCCACCCAGACGGGAACTCTTCTAAACTCTTCTGTTTCGACATTGGGACGGAGCACAGTTTGTCCTTCCTCTTGTTTATATAACTATCTCTAATGAAGGCTTGTTAATGCACATTTTTCTTGTGAATGCATTACCATTTTAATATGTTTATTTTAGACAAATGGATTTTTCACTAGAGAAAAGGCTGATATTCATTGTTGCCTTTCTCACTGCAGGAGACTTTCTTTGGTCAATCTCATTTCACTAATCCACTCCTGTAGAAACTTTTTACTGATTTTTATTAAGAATTTTTATTAAGAATCTAATATAAGCTAAATTTAGAGAAAGAAAAGAAAATAGAAAGACTAAAAAGGGGCAATGGAAAATAAAAAAATAAAAAAGTAAGAGCATATAGTAAAGAGAAAAGAAATATATAAAAATGTGACTTCTAATTTTCATTACAAGTTTAAACCAATGTAGTAAATCGCTTCATCCCATATCCCATCTCTTATCTCTACATAAATCCATAAAACATTTTTTCAGTCCCTTCATCAGCAAAAAAAATCCAAAAAGAGTAGCCAGAACTAACAATACATCTTATTCTTAACCTTGGTCAAATAAGCCAGCTTTATATTTCTTCCTTTTACAGTCTTAATCTTTAGTTGTTAGACATTGTCAAAGGATTTGATTTCTCTTCATTTCTTCTTTGTCCTATTACACAGACTTCTTCAAGGCGTGAGGCTATTTTTTCCCCTTTTTATATATCCCATATCAGGCTTGAGGGTCAGAATGAATGGAAATAGGCTAAAAAAAGTTGCCAAACACAAGATGATAAAGAACAATATCACAAACTGAAGCATGAATATGAAACATCAACATCAGTTCAAAATAAAATGATTGCCTTTGACCCAACACAAACAAATCTGAGAAAGAATGGATCTATATTACTCACTTAGAATGGTGTTTAAATGACTATGCATTCTTTTTTAAAAAAGAAAAAAAATCTGATATATTGCTTACCCACTGATTTTTCAATGTATTCTGAAACCAGCTGCCATTAGATCAGTAGCCTAAAACATCCCCAGCCCTACTTTCATTCCTTGATGTAATTGTAGCCAAAAACTAGTACATTTCTATCTCACGTTGTAATTTCTCTATTGCAATTCGACCGTGAAGCATAAATAGCTGTCCCTAGATTCTAATGTTCTACAATTGTATTCGTGCCTTCCTTTCACAATTTTGTCATCTGCCAAAAGGACCAGAGAGAAATTGTGCTCCATATCACTGTCTAAATTGTCCAACGTGCATATATCTTTGTTGCAGGTAACTGAACCCAAATCTAATCTAATCCCCAGTTCTAATAGTCCTCACCATGGAATAAAGTCCAAATCAAGCCATAGAAAAGTTTCATTGTTCTTTGTTTAAGTAAGCAGCTTCTTTAAGTTGTTTCCAGAATCTTCTTTCACTTTCATCTCAAATCACAGACTTGGAGTTCTTTTTTTTGTTTTTGTTTCTCAGACTGTATGTGGTATTCTGTTGAAATAACTAAGTTTCACCAGAGGAAGAGGTCAGATCTTGCTTAATTTTTAAAAAAGAAAACACATGATTATTAATCCTCAAATTGGCATATTTGTAAAGTAGAAACTGTAAATTCCTCCTCAGAATAGAAAAGACTTTACAATTATTGACCAATGCAGTGGTCTTAGATCAGTGGTTCTCAACCTGTGGGTCGGGACCCCATTTGGGGTCGAACGACCATTTCATGGGGGTCCCCAAACAACGCAGTCTGCCATTTTTTCCCCCTTTTCCTTAGCTGTGCTATTCCCTTTTATTCTATTGGCTTTTGAAAGCCAATAGAATAGACTCTCTTGAATAGAGTCTAATTCTATTGGCTTTCAAAAGCCAATAGGAATAGTCCAGGCTGTCTCTGCCCTGCTGAGCCCGCCAAAAGTCCCATTCTGCAAACGGTGCTGCACCAGTTGAGTAGTCCTCGACTTACGACCGGTTGAGGAGTCCTCGACTTACAACTGGTTGGGGGTTGTGGCATTAAAAAGGTTGAGAACCACTGTCTTAGATCCTTCCTATTACAAATATAGACATGGATAACACTGGGTTTGGGCATGTTTAACATTTCATTGTTGTAATAGCTTTAATGTATAATTTCCTGAACTATAATGATTGCAAGCACTAGTACTAATTGCTTCCAAAATGGAAATAGTAAATCACATCACCTCTCTACCAATGTGGTTCATGTGTCTTAAAGTGAATAAATGTGACAGAGTGTAGTAAGGAGGTAGAGTCCCAGGTGGAGTGAAGTGCATTACAGAGGAGTAAATTACAACTCAGTTCAGACAGATGTCAATGGAGAATCTCAGTCATCCAGGTCATGGTTGTCCCAAAGGTGCTTTTTCAAGAGGCAACGGGACTTTCTTTTTTTTCCTCTGAAGACATTTTGCTTCTCATCCAAGAAGCTTCTTCAGCTCTGACTGGATGGTGGGGAATGGAAAGATTTATAAATGGCAAGGAATATAAATGCTTCCATTTCCCACCATCCAGTCAGAGCTGAAGAAACTTCTTGGATGAGAAGCAAAACGTCCTCAGAGAAAAACAAGAAAAAGCACCTTTGGGACTTCCAGCTGCAGTTGTTCCAGTAAGCTGTTAAGCAGATAGTGTTTCAATTAAGGAGCTTGGGATGCCTCAGGGGGGTGGGAGAGGCCCTGGCAGGCCTGCTGTGGGTTGCGCAAAGGTTGGAGAAAGGCTGCAGTATGGTGCAAAGCCTCAGCTGCCCCATCCCAATCCTGCACTGTGGCCCTTGTCAGTGGAAACCCCAGGGCTGGGCCTGAAGTAGAAGCCGAGGGCCTTCAGCCATCTCAGCCAACTGCTATTGCATTTCAGTCCTTGACTTCAGCCCCAGTGCTGCGGCTGCCTCTAACACATGCCGCCAACTTGTCAAACTCTTCTATTGCCCCACCCCACCTCAATCTCAGCAACATTCATCTTTAGCCCTAGGGCTGGGCCTGAAGTAGAGGTCCAGATTCTTCAGCAGTCTCAACCAGCTACTATTGCCCTTGGACCTCAGCTTCAGTCCTTTGGGTCCAAGAAAGCCAAATCAAGTTCCTCCCTAGAGAGAAACTATCTTCCTGGAATATTGCCTCCTTGTTCTTTCAACAACCCCCCCAATACTTGTAGTCCTGCCCTACACCTCAAAATAACCTACTTGCCTGAAGAACTTCATTAGGCACATTTATATTCATATATGAGCTGTTGTCTTTATCTAATTAAATGCTTTGCTGCTGATCTATCACATGTACTCTAATTTGCGTAAATGTATAAAGAGGGACTGGGACTTCTCCCTCTTTAAGTCTATCTTTGCCTCCAGCACTGTCAATAAACCAACCAACTGTATTTCAGTGCAATGTTTCCTGGTCAATTCAAATGTATCCCTGAGAAAATTCTCCTACATCCCAACCGTCTCAACAAATCCTTTGCTTTCTTTCAGTGCAAACATTATCTTCAGAAGAGGTTGGTCAGATTTGCTTTTTGTCATCAGGGGCATATCTAGCTTCATCAAGAAGGTGGACTTAGTATACTTGCATTTTTATAGGTGCTTGATATCATATCCTTGCTCCCCTGATCATGTTGTTTGCTATCCCTTCCCTGTAGGAGAAGAGCAGGCAGAGCTGGGGGGGGGGGTCAGAGTTAAATGCGTCATCAGTTTAGAGTCCTTATGTTGCCACAAGAGATCAAAGTCCAGACCCCCCTGCCCTGAATTTTGTTGACTCTTATCTAATGACAATTTATTGCTGTTAGTTGACTAGATTCTTGTGTATAGATTTGAATAAAATCGTCTATGCTGCAACTTTACAAATGAGCCGGATTCTTTGCTCTTGACGTTCTCTCTCCCAAACAAGCTATTCTGTGAGTTATTGCTGTGTGAATGTTGAATGTGATATTGTATCTCAGGGCTTGGGGACTCTTCCTGTACCTTTAAAGCAGCTACGAATGCCTCCTCCCACCCTGTAGCTATTGCTACGTCCTACTCAACATTAGCTAAAGAGTGTATATAAACAAACCACCAGAGACCAGTTCTTGTGACCTTTCCTCACCCTCTATTTGGTAAAGAGGCTTCTTTAGAAGAGGGTGGGAAGGGCCAACCCTCTTGCAAGTTGTTGAAATGCCTGCCCATGCTGGAAATAGAAAGCACAGAACTATTTGGGTCAGTGCTCCTAAGAGCATTGCTTCGGGGAGACGCAATTGGACTGTCATGTAGAAATCTGGAAAGAGATCAAGGACATTTTCTTCCATACAAATGCACACTCATGGATGCATTTTTGTGACAGTGGTGGAGAGCAGCTCTTCAGTGTAAAGAGATAGGTGAGATGATAGATGGGTGAGGAGCAGAGCAGGGAGAACATGAACATGTACAGTATTAGGTTTGGTCTTTTTTTAAAAAAAGACAGGTCTTCATATACAAATATGGGCATCTCTTCATGAGGGCCTCCAGCCTCGTCTGATCACCTGATCTGGTTTCTGTCTGTCTCTGCCATACTTAATTTGAAATAGGAACAAGCTGGTGGTTCCTTTCCCCTTCTCCCATTCTCTCATACCTTTCCCTATTACCTATTCATAGCACAATTCACCCAATTGGCTGAAAACTACACTGGCACCAAAATTTGCTGTCCCCATTATTTGCCTCTACTACCTCTGTTTTAAGTCGCTGTAGTCACCTGACTTCCTTCCCTTAGATGTCCAAATTCAAATGGTACAGACTCTTTAGCTCCTACTGGTCACAAGGGGGCAGCAGGGTGTAGATCGAGATGTCTATGGAGATTCTCAGTCATCCAGGTCATGGTTGTCCCAAAAGCGCTTTTTCAAAAGGCAACTGGACTTTCTTTGTTTTTTGTTTTTTCCTTGAAGGTGTTTAATTTCTCATCCAAGAAGCTTCTCCAGAACTGAAAAAGCTTCTTGGATGAGAAGTGAAATGTCTCCAAGGAAAAACAAGAAAGCCCAGTTGCCTTTTGAAAAAGCACCTTTGGGTATAGATCAAGAGTTAAGGATTTCACTACAGGAGTAGGCAACCTTGGCTCTTTTATGACTCGTGGACTTCAACTCCCAGAATTCCTGAGCCAGCATGGCTTAGCATGGAAACCTCTCCCTTTCCCCTCAGCATGGCTGGCTCAGGAATTCTGGGAGTTGAAATCCACGAGTCATAAAAGAGCCAAGGTTGCCTACCCCTGCACTAGAAGGAAAGAATCAGTAGCTCAGGATTGAATTGTGGAGTCCTTGAAGCTCTCTGAGCTTGCGTATCTACTTGCAGACATTTCATGATAGGTAACATCATCAGTGCTATTTATTTTGTGTCCCCAGTTTGCCTAAGAGATTCTAATCTATACAATTTTTCCCCTGCTTTTCTTCCCAGACCCACAGTTTTTGACTCACCTCCTGCTAGGAGGTATCTAACCAGGTGATGGACTTTGTATCATGTATTACCTGTACAGATGGTCCTCCCTTAACAACAATAGTTGGCGCCAGAATTTCTATTGCTAAGTGAGATGGACATAAAGTGCAATATTATAAGACTGTGGCGCTCAATGACAGTAGTCCCAGTCCTTTTAATTGCTATCGATAAGCAAACCCTATATACCATCATTACGTGAGGATGTGACCTAGTCACTGTTTGTGACTTCCTGCCAGCTTTGACTTTTCTTGTTAGAAGCTAGAAGCGAAGCCCACAAATGGCAGCCATGTGACTGCAGGGACATGGTGACCATTGTGACTTAAGAGGACAGGTTGCAAGTGACACTCATTCTACACCATTGTAAGTTTGCATGATGACTGAACAAGTGGTCTTTAGGCGAGGGCCAGCTGTAAATAAAGGTAATCCTCGACTTATGACCACAATGGAGCCCAACATTTGTGTTGCTAAGTGAGAAACTCATTAAGTGAGGTTTGCCCCATTTTGCGACCTTTCTTGCCACGTCTGTTAAGTGAATCCCTGCAGTTGTTAAGTTAATAACAAGGTTGCAACCATCATAAATGTGAACCAGTTGTCAAGCATCCGAATGTAAATCATGTCACCATGGGGATGCTGCAATGGTTGTAAGTGTGAAAAACAGATCGCAAGTCACTTTTTTCAGGGCTGCTGTAACTTTGAACGGTCACTAAACAAACTGTTGTAAATTAAGGACTACCTGTACCTCTTCTTTCTGTTACAGTTGTAAATCCTGCTTCACTAATTATTGCTCATATTAGATACCCATTCTCTGGAACACTAACAGGCACACACAGAATGCTTCAACTATTAAACGTTCAAGAGACAAAGCTCGAATATTTGAAATCTTTTGGACCGTGTGAATAACAGATAACATGCTATAGTGGTAGTGATACAGCCAGTTGTGGCATTCAGCCAGTTTGCACCACTTCGGCAGAACCGGGCGCTAATTTTTTTGTTGCCCAGGCCCAGAATGAACTTCTGGAAACGGCATCCACACGGAGAACCGGTTGTTCACA